TTTTTTTTTTTTTTTTTTTAATAAAGATGTGGGGTACATTTCAGGGTTAGGTATACAAACACTGATCATGCAGGTGCCCTTGTGGATGAGCTGTGCCCCTCCCTCCCCTGGCAGTTTCCCTCAACTGCCAACCCCAGCCTCCCCTTCCTCTTCTTTGGTCGTTTTTAATGAAGTTTTCCTTAGCTTCTCGATGTCATTCATTGTAGAAAGTGGAGTGCTTGTTGGTTATCATTGAGCTCAGCTAGATGTGTCATACGAGCCTCTCTTTAAAAAAAGGTTTATGCCCTATTAAAAAATTTCTTTGGGGGGGCCCCCCCTATTAAAAAATTTCTTTGGGGGGGCCCCCCCCCTCCCGCAGTGGGAGCTTTTCTGTCCTCTCAATAAATCCTGCTTTCTCAAAAAAATAAATAAAAATAAATTTCTTCGGAAAAAGCATTTTAATTCAACAGGACTCAAGCCGGTGTATTTGGCTGTTAGGCAGTTGGTTTCTAATGATAAGGTCGGGTATTGGGGACAACTTTGAGCTTGGGGGTATTTGGGCTAATCGTTATTTTCGTCATACGTGTGTCACTGTTTTCCTCAAGAATTATGAGATGATACTGGTTCAGTTCGGGTAAAGAGCGTGATCTTTTTGGTTAGAATCTGTATGGACTGCCTCTGGAATGTGGCATTTGGAGACCTCAGAATGTTCTGTGAAGACCAGAAGGTGGACAACAAATCGATCGACCTGGGGGCTGGTCTGTGGCTTTGCTGCTGACAAATCAGATGTGCTTCAAGTTTCAGCTTCCTTCTCCTGTAAAAGGAACACTTGAAAATGGTTGGTGTGGAAGATTTCTTTAGCTCGAAGTCTGTTTGATGAGAGGGTTCTTTCATTGCAGGCTCTTCGTCAGGTTGCCCAGAGGACCATCAGCACTGCTTCTCGCAGGCATTTTGAAAATAAAGTTCCAGAGAAACAAAAGCTGTTTCAGGTACCGAAACATTTTGCAGATTGTCGCTTGTAATAATTGTGTTATCAAAAGATGGAGCGAGGATAAATGTGTGTACAAATTTAGAAGACATGACAATATACACATTAAAAAGTAGGGATGTGCACCACATTGTTGATCGTGGTTGCCTCTTGGGAGCAGACTTAGAGGAGATGCGCAGTTTACCTTTATGAGTGGTTTTTTGTTTTGTTGTGATTTCTGGTTTTTCCCAAATAAAATTCCAAGTGATTAAAAAAAGTTGTGTCATATATGCTATGTAAAAATAAAATACTTTATTAATAGGTATCCTAAATACCTATTGTATGCCAGGTGCTAGACTAGATGCTGGGGATATAATTTAGAATTGTAAACGAAAAATCTCTTCTCCCTGTTAAAATGTTCTGGGTGACTAAGTCTAAAGCGTGATGATGATTTTTTTTTTTTTGAGTTGGAGTCTCACTCTGTCGCCCAGACTGGAGTGCAGTGGCCGCTCCCGGCCACCGCAGCCTCGACCTGCTGGGCTCCGGCGATCCTTCCGCCTCAGCCTTCTGAGTAGCTGGAACTACAAACGCGCTACCGTGCCCGGCTAATTTTTGATTTATTGTAGAGATGAGGTCTCGCCAAGTTGCCCAGGCGGGTCTCGAACCCGCGGGCTCAGGCAGTCGACTCACCTCAGCCTCCCAAAGGTGTGGGATTACAGGCTGAGCCGCAGAGCCTGACTAGGAGTTTCTATCTTATTTTATTTTATTTTTAATGGATTACTATTTAATGAATATTTGGGAAGAATTCTCTTTCAACATAGAGAATAATTAACTGAGATTCTGTATTTTCATCCTATACATTACAACAAATTCCAAATGCATCATAGAGTTAACAGCAACAGAACAGAACATAACAGTGTACACATTCTGGCTCTTGGTTGGGAAATACATTCTGAATATTAAGAAAGAAGAAATATATTTGAGGAACTATATAACCTTAAAAAAACTTTTCTATAGTAAAATATTGAATTAAAGCAACAGAATGAAGAAAAAATACCATAAGCAAATGGTAAATACTTGTTTTTTGATGTATTTAGCAAATCCTTGGATAACACCCATACTAATATGAATACATATATATTTTTTCTAGTACTTTTTTTTTTTTTGAGTTGGAGTCTCACTCTGTTGCCCAGACTGGAGTGCAGTGGCCGCTCCCGGCCACCGCAGCCTTGACCTGCTGGGCTCTGGCGATCCTTCCACCTCAGCCTTCCCAGTAGCCGGAATTACAGGCATGTGCTACCTTGCCCGGCTGATTTTTTGATTTATTGTAGAGATGAGGTCTTGCTGCCCAGGCCCTAGTACTTTTTTTTTTGATGCATTACTGTTTGTATTTATCACTTCTGTGTGTTTTGAAGAATTCAAGTATACAATATTTTGTTGTTTTTTTTCTAAATTTTTTATCGTAAAGATGTGGGGCATAATTCAGGGTTAACTATACAAATGTTCATTATGCAGGTACCCTTGTTGATGAGGTATGTCCCCCTTCCCTGGCAGATTCCCACTACTGCCAATTCCTTTTCTCATAGTATTACAATAATTGTTCAAGGTCTGCTTATGAGTGAGAACATGTGATACTCAGTTCGTTGTTTCTGTGAAAGATCACTCAGTATTATAGGCTCTAAGTCCATCCAGGTTGCTGCAAAGTTCATGATTTTGTCCTTCTTTGTGGCAGTGTAGTATTCCATCGTGTATATGTACCACGTTTTTTTATCCAGTCCTTTTTTGGAGTTCTTATTTTAAAAGTAGTAGGAGTAGAGAAAGAATCAAAAAAACTGTAGGTCTTTTTAATTTTGAGATTCAAAGTATCTAATTCTAGGGTTTAAGAAGTTATTTCATATTGTAATGAATGATTGGTTTTTTGAAACAAGCGAGTGGCACATCTAATGATGTCTTGTTTTTGTTCTTTATCCAGGAGGACAATGGGATTCCAGTGCACCTAAAGGGTGGGGTGGCTGATGCCCTCCTGTATAGAGCCACCATGTTTCTTACAGTTGGGGGTAAGGCATCTGGCACGTTTGAAGGTCGATAGAAAAGTAATAGCGATAACTAGCATCTTCATTTTAAAGGCGAGGAGATTATGTTAATTATCTGTTTGAGAAAAACTCTCAAACTGTGTTTTTCCTCTGCTCTCACACCACAGTAATCAAAATAGTAGACTTCTGTGACCAAATGTGGGGGTGTTTTCCCACGCATCAAGTGGTGGACACCAGCTGGATGTCCCCAATTCACTTCTGACAAAGTCTGCCTGGGGATGGTGTCAGGTCCCACAGGCTTAGAGCTCAGTCCCTCAAGACCACCGCTTCCTTCCCACTAGCCATAAATCTGGGCCTTAGACTTCTCACTGGCTCACTTTAGGTTGGGGTGCCCACAGCCCCATCTTTGGGGTTCAGTTAATTTGCTGGAGTGTCTCACAGAACTCAGGGAACTATTTCCTTTCAAGTACTGGCTTATCTAAAGGATATTGCAAAGGATACACCTGAAGGGATGCGTAGGGCAAGCTCTAGGGGGTGGGGCATGGTGCCTCCTTGCCCTCCATGCCCTCCTTGGGCCTCCACCCTCCGGGAGCCTCCAGCCATCCAGCAGCGCACCAGCCTGTGTTTTTGGGTGTTCATGGACGCGTCATTACCTTGGCATACCCACAGCCGGTGGAAATGTGACTGCACAGAAAGAGTATGATCTTCTTTTCTCTCTCTTTTTTTTTTTTTGAGTTGAAGTCTCAC